CATGAGTCATAGGCTGAAGAGGAGGGGAAAAGGAGTGGGGGTATAGAGCTGCATATTTCAGTACACAGAACTACTTGTGAACAAACCTACCGGGTCTATGGTACATGGACATATGAAATATTGCCTTTGCCAAGGCATGAATCTTAGCGCTAGGTTTTTAAAACATTTTCTTGCAAATATCGAACAAAAGTTTATTGTTTTGTAGCCGAGATCAATTGCTCTCATGCAGTATTTAGGACTATCAATACTTTTGGGTAATTCATTTGAAAGAATGAAAATTATGTCCAACTGTTACTAGTCATCTAATTTAAAAAAATATGAAAGAGAGGAAATGGTGGATACCAGTCAAGATCTGGCAAATTTGTTTTGATCAAATGCATCACTAAATCCAAAATATAAACATACAAATACTGGTACACCTATGTCCCCATTTCAAGAGGCACTGATTCAAAGAATATTTAGAAGTGCATGTAGAACACAGATGAGGTGCTGTAAAATGACATGTACAGTATGTGTGTGAACTACATGTACATGTATCGTGACGTACAGACGTGTACCTGTAAGTTTTACTGCAATACTTGAGAAACTACAATTTTCATAATTTTTTAAAGTGGGGGGTATGGCAGCTTAGTTACTTGTCTGCAACCTTATATTGCTCCCTATACCCAGACAAGGGGCAGCTACATGTACATGTAAATAATAGATCTCTGTATACTTGGCTCTACATGTACATGTACATGTACACCTGCTGTATACATTTACATGTACATATACTGTGCACGTGTATAGTTATGTGGGACAAAAACTGGATAGACCCATACAATAAGCGCCATATTTGTATGGTTTCCTTTTCTTAAAATGAACAATTTATTGATGCCCAAAATACCAAGTCGTTGTGCACCTGTGTGGCAAGGATTTCACACATGATCCCATTGAGTGCATTGCTGTTCACTATTGTTAATGTTCTTCAAGATCATCATGAATGCTCTTGGGATCTATGTACATGTACATGTACTTATTACATGGAAACCAGAAGTTGACCTTGGTTCTTTTGCCCAGCATGTACTGTACATGTACCGGTGGCTTATTCAACATGCCTGTAATAACTTGTACCGGTATGTACATTTTACATGTGTGTACATCTGTACGTGATGCTTTCAAAGAGATCTTTTTGGGACCAGTACATGTGCAGTAAAAATCCCATTTTCTCAGGGAAAATGTAATTTTGTGAAATGTCAATCTACCGGTACATGTACATGTACATATGTGAATCTTTTTTGTGTAAATATAAAAATTACTTATTTATTTCAAGTATACATGTACGTGTGCAGATGGTTATTTCTTTCACATTTTCTTATTAATATGTGACATACATGTTCTTACTCAAGTTTTGATGTACACGCAAATGTACAATTCTTTTGTGACTACAGATAATGCAGAGATTGTGCAGACTCGTAGTAATGAGATGGAAGGAGGTCGTAGGGAGTTCTATGTCCACTACAAAGGCTGTAAGTAAAATTGGTCAGTTAATGTATGTGCATGTATAGTTTGTGTACATACAGTGTATGTACATGTATATTTGCTACATGTACGTTTGTTTATAAATTGTAAGATTTTAAGTTCTTTGATTTTCTTCTGATTGACGATTCTTAGCTGTGTAGTCCACAGCTTGCCATACGGTATATGCTGTGGAAACCAATATTAAGATGGATTTTGCCCGGTGAGAAATGTGTTTATAATCACCCTCTTGGGTGTAAAATTAAATGGGAGAAAAGTAGTCAGACAAAATGTCCTAGCATAACGAATTTTGTTCTGCCATCGTAAGCTTTTACATTGTAAATGGAAGCCTACATGTACATGTACTTGAAACAAGTTATTAGTACTACCCTACCTGTACATGTATATTCACCTGTACCCTCTTGATTACCAGATAATGCTGTGTAGATTTAAAGCATGAATCTACGGAGTTCATGATCTGCTATTGAAATGCGTGGTGTTGAATCTATTCTGTGACATTAGATGCCCTGATGGATTCACTAACATTTCCATAAAACACCTGCACTGATAAACAACATTTGAATACATTGACTGATAATTTCAAGTGTCTGCATCAGTTGGACATTTTGTCTGAGCACTTCACAATTGGTTGGACAAATACGGTATTGCCGGTGGTCAGAAAATATTCAGTGTCTGACAATAATTTAACACTCTGCCTTGTCTTCTACCAGTAGATCAATAAAGTGCATGTACTGTACATGTACATGTACACGTTTCATCTTACCCCTCTTTATTACCAGGTACCGGTAGATTTTGTTTCTCAGAGGCACCGTATGAGTTTTATTTGTCAGAGAAATTGGGACACACTTGGACCACTTTCATGATTTATCTGTGTGCAGCTTTTATGTTACGTTTGCTTGGAACACAGGAATCATATGTGAACTGATGCCATTTCAATTTGTCAATTGTCATTTCAACTTGTGACCACAGTGAATCGTCGCATGGATGAATGGATTGGCACAGACAAACTCAACATTGTACAGGAACAATCTGATGTCAAAACAGGTGAATCAGCAGTCATCTTTGATGATCAGCCTGACAGAAAGATTACTCGCAATCAGAAGAGAAAGCATGATGAAATCAATCACGTCCAGAAGGTAATACATATCTGTTTTCAATTTACTTTTTAAGGCATTCTGCATCTTGGAGGCTAATGCAAATTCTGTGTCCAACAAATGTGGATTTGCTCTGTCAAAAATCTTAACAAAAACTGGTCCTATTTGTTTCCTGATAGTGTAATACCATGAGTGTCATAGTTGTGTTTACTCACAGTAAGTAAAAAAGTTGACTTGGTGCACATGACATTTCTTTGCATTGATTTATGGCAGGATAAAAGCTGATGAAATAGTTCATCAGAGATGTGGTACTAATGGATTTTTTTGCAGAAGAAATTGTAGTGGATGGTATTTGGTCACATTCATTCACCACATGCCAACTGTAAAGATTTAAAGAGCAAGGCATAAGGTACTACAGAGTTACAGGTAAGATCCAAACCAGTAGCTCTTCAGTTTTCATACATGTATGTACAGTAGCTGTAATCAGGTCAGTCACTAGTCTGATCACCATCAGACAAGTCAGAGCACTAGATAAATCTCATGATACATGTTGATCACAATTTTGATACCGCATTCACAAGAAAGATCCCCAGATGGACCACAAATCAATTTAGGAGTAACTAGACCCGTGGGACTTGTCAACTTATCGCCAACAGCAACAGGTATTGGTGGTCACGACTGTCAATTTCCAGATAGTGGATTAGTTGTGATGTGGTGACTAGTCAGACTATGTTATGACTGGTGGTCGGGACTCCTAGCCTGCGGCCCAGGATTATTTACAGATACATGTACCTGTACATGCCCAGAACTATACAGTGGAGTACCCAAGCCCAGCAGAGCAGCATCACGTACATGTACATGTAGGTGCAACACAGCACTTACATGTGTGTGTGCACAATGCCCATGTACATGTAGATGTACACTGTACGTGTTAAATTTGTACACCAAGCTTCGTACACCAAGCTTCGCTCAGCTGCTCGCGCACAGTACTTGATAGTTGTGAGCGCCTGCCAATACCTTCTAGGTACCTACCTGCTCCTTCTCGACAGTTGACCAGTCGCAGAAGTTGTGAGGGCCTAGTGCCAGTACCGTTAAAGCTGTGACTAGTCATGTCCACACCAAATTGCACTGACTGTACAGAGAGCAAACAACGTACATGTAGGTGCAAAAACATGATTCCTGCTTGCTTGAAGATATTATTATTCATGAACAGGGCCATGCAGCTGTGCTTCAAGTGCTCTGATTGTTGTGTTTTTATGCATGTCTGTTAAATAAAAAAGGATCTGTGTTGAATACACACACTGTGTCAACGTGATAGAATCTTCTTTATTAGTCTCAAATTTTATTTTACAAATCACTGTTTAATTTTGTGATGTGTAATTCTGACTATTCCGTGTAATTCCTCTGCCTTCAAGAGAATGAAAGCCTCCAAGTCTTGCAACATCAGAGCGGCTGAAAAAGAAACGACTGGCACCGAAGAGAGATGCCAAGAGTCAGATATGGAACTATTTTGGATATCAAACAGACCCCAATGACGAAAAAATATTTCTCAGTGATTCCAGGGTTCTTTAACTAATCTGCAACATGCTGCTGACGTTTACGGGAAACACCAGCAGTCTGCGTATCATTCCCGGGCGATACATCCCCGTGAAAATGGTGACTTCTCTGAAAGTGCCATCATTTCTGAAAGACCATCCCAAAGTCAGCAATCAAAATTAGACGTAAGTACATACACGAACATTATGAAAATGTGACCCAATTTCTTAAACTATCGTCGAGTTAATGGGCTCTATAAATATTTCTGGTTTGCTGCTTAGGTTTTTGTGCAATGAAATCCAAAAATTAAAAAAGGGACACAAACTTGGAGAACAAGCTTAATTATTTTGGTACTTTTTTCTGTAAACAAAAATTTTTGCCATGCTGTCAATCCTGTCATGCGATTTTCAACCTGAAAGTGACTGTAATACCTGGTACAGTACATGTGTACTATCTTATTCTCTCACTACAATAAATGTCTGCTTTTTGAATTGTTCCAGCTACCCGTAGGTTTTTTTAAGGCATAATAGGAAAAAATAAAGTGTCCATTTATTATCTTTAGATCTTATTTTGTTTTTTGCCTTTAGACCCTGTTGATGAAAGCAGGCCAGTAGGCGTCTAACAATTTTCAAGCCAAAGAGTTAACCAAGGCTGTGGGTATCACTTGGCAAGACATACATGTTGGAAGCTGATGTACACTGTGGAAGAGCCCGGTTTCGTGCATATGCTTGAGAAGCTTGACAGTCGGTACACGTTTCCCTGCAGGAAGACCTTTTCTAATGTAATCATACCTAAGATGTACGAGGACCTGCATGCCTCCACTGCGGTGCCTCTTATTACCAAGGCAATGTCATTCTCCCTCATATTGGACCTTGGACAGCTGGGAATGACGCAATTCCTAGGTATAACTATATATGCCATCAACCCATCGTGGGAGCTCAAAACATTCACACTTGAAAATACAGAATGCCCCCACTCC